TTTGAACTTCAAGAAAATTGCAAAAAACTTTTTGCAACCTAAACTTTTTAACAAATTAGTGTGCGATATATTAATTTTCTCAAGCGGCTTTCATATAGTGTTAATAACTATATGGGCATCTGTCATATAACAAAATTTTTACATAAATATTTTTATAAAAGGTACAAATAATTGCCAAATAATTTATCCTTTTCTCTCATATTATAAACTCCTACCAGCACCTTATCCAATAAATTTTATAGTCTTTAATAAAAAAAATATAAATACTTTTCACACGATATTTAAATCAATTTTATTAATGAAAAATTTAAACCTTAAAATATATTATTTAATATACTCATAATATCAATGCATTTACAAACACATATATGTACATAATATTGTGATAAATGTGCAGTATATATATATTTTCAATGCGTATTCTCTCTCTTATTATTTGAGAATATATAATATAAACTTATATAATCTCTAAATTGCAGCAACAGTTGAATCCATTACCATTGCCACCGAATTTTATATTACACAAGTCTCGTTTCTTATTTAGAAAAACTCTGCCCATTATAATTCACAGTTATGCATTCCATTTCAAGTTATATAACACTCTATAAAAATAACTGCAAATGTATGTACAACAGTCTCAATTACAACAGCAGTTACGCTTACGAGCAGTTTCAGCTTCAACTATAAAAACATAACAAAATACTTTATGTACAACATTGTATATACAATTCACGATCAATCTTTAATTTTAATTAAATTATTGTACATATATACATTTGTATAGACATAGAGATACCGCGCACATAAATTGATGATATTTGAAATAACAAAATCACTACATGCAACAATCACCCAATTTCCCATCACGACGTTTTATATAGCTATATAAAACTAACTTTATAATAATAATTACGACGACTGGTACAATATCTGATTCCTTATGTGATTTAATGGTCCAGTCATAACAGAAACTATTATAAGCATACCAAAAAAAAAATAAATCAATTATCACAAGTTTTCATAATATACCTAAAAAATGGTTTGAAATTACTTTATATATAACAACATTGATTTACATCCCTATAGGATATAAATTTTATATACAGAAAATAAATCTCTCGCCTTTTTTCGTATTTAACATTCTCTTAGTACAAGTTTAATCGATTGTACAAAAAGAATTACTAAAACTTATTTCGTACAGTTTAATTAAATTTCACAATAACTATATATAATGTTTTAGAACATATAACTCTCAATGTATAACACTTTGAGTGTCCAACACTTATAGTAAGATTAGCTTGCTGCAAGGGAGTGGTTTGAAGGTGTGGTTCATAACATTTGTTCCGGCCGATTTAAATATGTATGTTAGTTTTCACTGTGTTATTAAAAACAGGAGTAGTAGAGTGTCATATTTTTTCAAAAAGAACGTTGTCATATTTTTTTCAAAATAGTCCACTGCTATACCTATAAAAGTTGTGATGAAAGGCTATTTTTGAACTCAGATTATGAACAATTTTTAAATATTATAATACCCTAAAATATTGCCTTATTATATTGACAAATCAAAATCATTCAAAAAATACTAGACGATCTTTTTAAAAGCAAAATAAAATTTCTATATCACATACGCACAAACAAATTCTTTTACAAACAGACTGGTAAATTTTTTAAATAAGGTTTATAAAATAAAGTACAGAAATCTTTTTCACTTCAATTTCATTAATTATTGAAGCCAGAGGAACGTTAGATTCATTATAATGTACGTAATGTACGGTATTGTTTGTGTATAACTTGTAAGTATAATAATGATTTAACTGCAACTTTCGAATAATGAACAGTGAACAGAAAATCAATTTTTTTCTTTAATTTTTTTTTTGTTATACCAAAAATATTATTTTGAAATTATTGAAATAAAACAATTATGCGGGCGCGCCTATTTTATACTATACATATACTCTTACAATTATAGATGCACAACGATTGTGCGTGAATATATACAAGTATGTAACATTGTGAAGTATAACGGCCAAAAATATGGGAGGGAGAAAATTCAATAAATACTAAAACTAACAGTATATTAAAAAAATTTTAAAATCTCATTCTAATCAATCTCAGAGAAAGAATAAAACCAAAAAAAAAATAACAGAAAACTATGTATGAATGTCGCATATAAATTAAAATATTAATTTGCTCCCATAATATACACATTTACATACATATACACATATAAATAATAATTTTATAAAGTCATAAGTTCTCATAACTGTTTCATAACGATTTATTTTTATTTTTCCTTAATTTGTTTTTTTGCTAATAAATTTATGACATTACAATATTTATTTGACAGATGAGTGAAATTCTCAGGATGATTATAACGTGCAAATACGCAGAAATTAACAGTGATTACCAGTTTCTGGTTTCATTTTATGATTCACAATCATAAATTTGACTTATTGTAAATATTATGTAAAATATGTAAAATATATTTTAAAATTTTCAAAAATTTCTGCAATAAGAAAGCTTTTGCAGGAACTTTAAAGAGCTGCAACAATGCAAAAGGTTCATTTAAAATTTGATTGAATTTTATTCAAAACTGATTCTGATGATTTTATTGACCGATTGATGTACAAATTATCTAAAGATTATTTAAATTATTGGGGCTGGTTCTATTTTAGTGATTCCTTCAATAAAGCCGTATACATACATTTGAAAACGACAAACAAACATTTCTCTTTTCGACGCACTTACTTGAAATCTATAACTATAATAATCGAAATTTAATCGGAATATTTACATTACAGATTAAAATAATTGTGTTTTCATAAGACTTTCTTATGAAAACACAAGAGTTTATTCAGACATTTATTCTTTCCGTATATATGTATTGTATTGCACGCACTATATAGGTAATAGGTGCATGTTTCCTTTTCATCAATAAAATAGTGCGTAACAGGTACTAGATACTACAAATTGATTAATGACTACATTTAATAAATACAAACAAAAACGACCGTATAATTTATAATATTTGAATTTATAGAAAATTAATGAAAACAAAATCGGTATATGTATGTACATCAATACATAATTAATGCGTTTAAGATTATTTAAGATAATTTTTTGTCCAAGAATTTAATTGCTTCTTTAAATTTAAACGGTTGTAAATAATATAGCTTATTATAGGGCGACATATAATATATTATATGGTGTTATTTACCTTTAAGCTAAAAAATTTAATTGAACCAATTATAATATGGAAGCTATTTAAACATCATAAAAGAACAACATAATTCATTTTTTAAAACTATATAATTACCTCATTGATTTAAAAAAAAATAATATGTGTATATGTGTTTACTTTTATATTATGTGTTATATTATGTTTCTATAATATTTAGAGCAATTATCAGACATATATAAGTATATTAAGAAAGAGTTGAATCTTTACATAAAATACCATTAAACAATCTGTTGTATTGGAAATATTGAAAGGCATAATGTGTACAGGTCATGTCTAATTTTTTAAATATTGTGAATTTTAAAATTGAAGCTATTGTGCTGTTGATGACGATTGTGCAGTTGATAAAAATTTCAAAACTATATTACAGAATTCCACAAAATTCATTTGAAAATTTTTGGCTTTTCGTAACATCTATGCGTAATGCACCTATATAATTGTTAAAAGTTACATAGAAATAATTCTAAGTAGGAAACATTCAAAGTATTAAAGCCCAATTAAATTTATATTTACAATAATGTTTTAAGTTTAGATTAATTAAGAATACTGCCATGAATGTCATTACTACGGCTTTGATTATTTTCTATAATCTTCAATATAAGTTTACTTGATTGATTTTTCCTTAAATATTCTTAAAAAATTGTAATAATTTTTTAGAATTTCATTATTTTAAGCCGAACTTGCTTAATTTATCATACATTTTATCTTTTATTACAGAAAATTCTTTAAAATTTCAAAAATTGAATTTTGTAATCAAAATATTAAATTTACATGGACTCGACTAAAAAAATATGAATATTATAATTTTTTAGTAATTAAATACAATGTATATAGCTTCTGTGACCACCATATAATACTATTAAAAATATTAAATTTCTTATATTCATCTAGACAAAAAATTAGGCCTTTAAACAAAAAAAACTATCTTTACAGATTGCTCTCCTTATAAAGCAATGTTTTGACAAATAATTCCTTTGATATTGTTTTTTTTTTTTGTCTCCATTTTTTTTCTTACTTATGATCTGTTAAATTACGCACTTTATTATCCCGTCAAAGTATCATATATAATTTTCGACTTAAAATATTCGCATTCTATATAATTACTTTAAAGCAATATACGCGTAATGAATACAAATTAAGAAAACAAATATATTAACTTCATATATACAATTATATATAAGTATGTATTTACATTTGTAGGTATTTATCGCTATATCCATTCATTTATTCTTTTTTTATCGAACTTAATTTCGCGTCCATAAATTAAAGTATGAGGGCCAATAATACTTGTATGAGTTTAATTTAAATAACTTCTCAGGTTTCTACTTTTTAAAACTTTAAAAACAAAAACTTAAAAGCATTTTAAATGAGAATAAAAAACACAAAAAAAAAAAAACTTCAACATAAAAAATATTAAAAACTTAATTTAATTCTTTTATAAATTTTAAAATATAATTTTTCGAATTTAATTATTATTTGTTATACAATATAAAGAGTTCAATTATATAAAGAGTTCAGTATATAAAGAAATGTAAGAAGTAGAGTATGAAAAACCAGTAAAATGAAGAAAAAAATTGTAGTTACATTAAAATTCTTTTGAAATTCCAAAATGTGAAAAAAAAATTTATTATTTTTATCGAATTTTATTCGGTATATAATTATTGACAAGGAAATTAAATGAAAAACTTGATATTCCTTCAATTTCAGATTTACGATTAAATTCCAGTAGAATATTTAATTCTTTACGTATTAATTCATTAATATATGGACGTTTTAATAAATCATTAATACGAATTTTATCTTCATTTGTTAATTGTATTGATGGTATACCAAGTAATTCAATTTCTGATGGTAAAACACCAATCCACTGTATTTCTGGACATGCTAAACAATGTGACATAAATGATAATTCCTAAAAAAAAAAATTATTAAGAAAATAAATAGTTTTATATTTCTAATTTAACTAATCTATGTAATTTATGATATTAATGTGTAATTAAAAATTTTGAATAAAATTTGAATATAATTATTCCGTAGCAATAAGATAAAACAATACACATAAGTATTTCTTCATATTCAAGAAATTTAACTCAATTCGGAACATTCAAAGTCCTCACTTAAAATAATGAGGGCTGATAACAGGCTAAGCAAAAAATAAAATATTTAGCCAAAAATATTTAATTAGTTTCTATAAATTCAAAATATATTAAAGTTCTTAAAATATTTTCATAAAAAACTAGAAAATTTCTAATTAGATTTACTCGAAACTTCATTAATTTTGACTAAAGTAACTATTCCTTATTGCTACAGAATTATAAAATACAAATAAATACCTTAGATCCATAACTATATGTTAACATAATTTCAATACCATATGGATCAGCATCCATTAATGCATAAACCGGTATATTGTATTTATTTAAAATTTTTCTTAATAATAATCTAGTATTAATATCGGGATAACCTTTACCAGTTATTAATATAAATTCTTTATTAATTTTATTAAAAATTTTTTGTTGTATTAATTTATCAAAAATTGTATCCTTTTCAACTAATAAAATAAATTCAGCATTACAATCAATTATATCAATTGTTTCAGTTGCTTTTGGTAAAAGAAATCCACTCATTTGAAATATTGAACAATCAATTATTATATTATCCAAAATTGATATTAATAATGAACCACAAACTAATCCTTTCGATGATGAATGAATACCAAGTTCCCATGGTGTACATTGTAATAGACAACAAATATCATGTAGAGCTTTAGTAAGATGTATTGGATCTTGACATAATTCTGGATCTTGATAATATAGTTCTCTAAAAATAATATTTTTAAAAATTAAAATTTTATTCTATAAATTTATTTTATATAATCCAATACCTTAATGTACAAGTTATACCAGCCAATAATCTTTTTAATATCTCGTTTAATAAATAATTAATTAATGTAAAACGAAATTTTGTTTTCTCATTATTAATTGATATATTTCGGGATACGGATTCATTTCGTATTGCTAACCTTAAATTAAAAATTTGAAAAGTATGTAAAATAACAAAATGTATTATACAATTTTTAATAATCTTACATTTGTTCCGAAAACTCAATATTATCCCATTTTGAGGTATTATCAATTGACAAGGAGACATCACCAGTTTCTTTAAAATTTTTCACCAATGATTTCATTAGCTCTTCAATACATTCAATTAAATATTTTTTACGTTTTTGTAAACAATAAAGATCATCAAAATAATTGTAATCATTGCCATCATCATCTTTATCATCAGTAATATTATTGTCATCTTGAACAGCAACATTATTAACATCATTTTCAATTAAATTATATAACATAAATTCATTATGTTCAACATAAGTATCTGTTGACTTATTATCATTATTTTTATCATCGTCGTCATCATCAGTTATCATGCTGGTAACAAAATTATTTAAGCAGAAGAAATCATCATCTTCATCATTTACACCGCACTTGTTGCCATTGATTTGATTCAATTCATTATTATCATATTCAACAAATAAATCTGGAGATTCTTGTGATTCTCTTAAATATTTCTTCTCTTTAAAATTATTGTCACCATCATTATTTTCAAACAGCATACTATGATTTAATAAATTTGAATCATTGTTGTTATATAAATTTTTTAATTCTTGATTTAATTCTGTTTCAATAACTCTTTCACCATCAACTGAAGTCGCACAGCATGTTGTAGGTTTTATTGAAGAAATCTCAGAAGAAGAAATTAAAAAATCAGAAGAATTTATTTTGATTTTTTCATTACTATTGTTATGAATTGAAGATGAAATCGTAATTGGACTTTTTAAATTCGTATTTAAAATTTCTTTTCGTTCTAAGTATTCCATTTCTAAATTAAGACCATCTCTTAACCGATTCATGAGTAGTTTTATTGCTATTTCATTATCATCTTTTGATGGATCTTCATAAATTGGTAAAAATTTTGAATGTTCTTCACTAAAAAATACAATTTTTTTTTTTATTTCATTACTTTTATTTTAAGTACCTATATAATTTTTGGTAGTTTACCAATTTTCTTCCTCGATTGTATTATCTTCCTTAGATGTTAGTGAAGAATCATAGATGTTGTTAAAAATACTTTCCAATTCAAGTAAATCATCATCATCCTCTTCATAAAACATATAATCACCTGAAGTTGCCATAATTTTAAGATTTTTTATGAACAATATGCAATATTGCAGTACTACAGTAAGAACTTCTTTCTGAACTGAAAAATATAATAAAGAAATTAAATTAATAAGTTTTTTCCTTTAACACAAATACGAATGCATTTAATATTGGAATATTTTTATATATTATTGTTATTCTTGAAAACTCAAAGATAAAGGTTTAATATAAAATATAAATTAGTCTAATGCTATTCTGTTGGCACGGTAATGTTTCTGTTAGGAACATTCAATGAAGAAAAATTTGAACATTAATATTAAATTAGGAATTTCATATACGTAATAACTGGTAATTGCATACTTTTAGGCCGAAAACAAATTTTGACGGCCATATTTATGTGTGTAAAGGTAAAATTTTATGTTTTTTTTATTGCAAAACATTCACCATTTTGTTTTAAGTTAATGCTTATACAGTTTCGGAAAAAAATTAGACTAAAGCCCCAAATTTATATAACAGACAAAAATATAATGGTCAATTTGCCGTATAGTAACATTTGTCTGTACGTTACTTTGCAATTATAGAAAACACAAATCTCAAAACAAAATTTCCTGATTTTTATACAATAAATTGCCGAAAATTGCAATTTTTAAGATTTGATAGGTAAAAATTTTCTTCTATTGAAATGGTTTTCTATTAAAAATGCATTTGTGTACAAAATTTCAGTTTAAAGAGTTCAGAAGTTTAGTAAATAGGCACAAGAACGAATGGATGACAGGACAGAGACAAATTCTGTAAAAACACAAAATATCTTCGAGCAACAAAGATTATACTTGCACTTAATTTTCTTCAGAAATCTATAATAAATGACAGAGACAATCAATAAAAAGTCCTTACATATACATAAATTTTTTTAAAAATTGTTATTGTAATAGAAAAATATAGTGTTACAAACTTATATACAAACCACAAGCATTTATATTATAAATGGTATACAAGGTGATTCAGTAATCAGTGACATAACATATACCAACATTTAGGTCAACATCAAAAATGAGTAAATTTTTGTTTCAGGACTAAGTGTCAAACCCCAACGGTTTCCGAGGTACAAGAACCCATTCTATTTGCCCAAGTTTTTTTCTTATAACTTTCCTTCCTAAAAAAATAGATACTTCAAATAAACAATTTTTGAAAGGGCTACTACAGGGCTTGAAGGCAACATATTACTTTATTTTGTATTTTATGTACTTTCGGAATACCAAGTGGCCGAACTTTGAAAAAAATCTAATTTATCCCGTCAATCACCTTGTATATATACATTTCTTATATACACTTATAATATTCTTAAAAAAGGGGTTTTATTTTTATCGTTATTCGTTACTATTATTTAAAACTATATTACACTTATATATACATTTGTATATATACATAAATATATGTAGAAATTCTTAAATTTTACTTTATTTTAGGGGTTCAAAATTTTATAATATAATTTCTTCTTAGTATATAAAAATTTTCTTTTCAAATTGAAAAAAAAAAGAAACAGGAACGAAAAAAATTTCAAGCATATTTAAGAATAGGCCCCGATATATTTCAATTAACACTTCATAGGGGTATGAAAATTTTTATTTTTATATATAAAATATAAAAATAATAAAATATTTTATTCTTTTTTTTTTCTATATATTCCATTTTTAAATTAAGGACGATTTTAAATATTAAAGTAAGCAAGTTAATATTTTAATGGAATTTTTATAAAAATTTTATATAGCCATGTGTACACGAAATGAATATCAATTTGGGTTCAAATTAAAAAAAATAGAAAAAAAAAATTATTAATTGAATGAATGCCACACGTGCGCTTATTCACTTTTTTTTTGTTATTTAATTAGAAAAATAAATAAAATATAAATTTAATAGAACAAAAAAAAATCCTTTGTAAATTAATAAAAAAATTATAAATTTTGTTATTTTTTATAATACACAAAAAAAAAATATCATATTTATTTTTGGTTTCTTTACTTTGTTTAATTGCTTAGAAGAGGGTTTCATAATTTTTAGAATTAAAAATATAAAACTAGCATGAAAATTATATTTGCTTTTTTTTAAATTTATATTAATTATTACGGTTAATTAGTTTGATTAATGGAATAATTATTATTTTTTTTTATTTTTGTAGTGTTATATTAGTATAACAATGTGTTAAACTATAAAGTATTAAAGATTTATGTTATAAAAAGCATGAAATGATTAAAATAATAATTTTACAAGTTTTAGCTTATTAAGTTAGATCCTGTTGTTGTGATACATACAATACCTTTCACTTTTGAGGCCAATTTATGTCCACATATTATAGATATTCCACGGTACCTAAATATCTTATTACGCTACTTATAGAGTAGGTTATTCGTTTTTTGCAATTTATTACAAAACTATGATTGCAATGTATTAAAAACATCAATTTTACTTGCGTAAATCAAAAACCATTTAATCAAAATGATTGACTTTGCCAAAAAGCCGTGAAGGCGAAGAATGCAATTCATTAATTTTTATTTTTATAATTTTTTTCTAAGGGCAAATTATAACTAACATTCAGTAAAAAATTTAGCTTACAAAATAAATACAAAAATACACTACAGTTTACAGATTGTATAAATATGAGAATCAAGACTTACACAAACTGTTCCTATATAATATTTACAATATTAGGTATGTTTACATGACGACTTTTGCATCCAAAAGTTGATATGCATTTTATTGCCGTTACCAACATAGTTTGCAAGTAAGGAAAACGAAACGTATGTCAACCATTAATGTAAAACTCGTTTTGTAAACAGAAATATTATGTTTACCATCAATTTAATTCTGACATTAACAGTTCCTACATATTATATGTAATAAAGTAAAGTCTAATGTCAAACTGATTATTTTCATTCTTTTTTAATAATGAAATTTCAACATGAATAAATTTATATAATAATTAATATTATGAATATTAAAAATGATAAAATCACCGTTAATTGAAATAAAAACAATATAATTAAAATTAAAATTAAAACATTTTTAATTATAACCTATATAATTATGATTATGATAGTAATTACACAAAATTTTACACACACCATTTTTTTTTTTTGATAATCTGCGATATTAAATGAGATTTAAATTAATTTTAATGTCAAAATTAATTAAAAAAAAAATAAAATTAAAAAATATTTAAACATCATTATCACGAACACCTAATTTATATTAATTTAACAAAAAATAAACCAATCTCGGATTTTTATTTATTTTTATATTTGTTTTATTTTTATTGTTTTTAATATAATTTAGATTAAATTAATGTAGATTAAGTTCAATTATTAAAAAATAAAAGAGAGTCAATTTTACACTTTAATTAAATTTCAATATCACAATAATTGAAAAAAAAAATTTATTGAAAGAAAAAATAAAAGATAAAAAATGGTAAAAGCAATTAAAATTGATATTAAATTATGTATGAATTTTATCACCATTAAAGGTTTTCTTATAATTAAATAAATTTAAATTTTAAATAAAAAAAATCACTGACTTCCAAATCGTAAAAAGGCTTAAATTTTGTAAAATATAAAGCATTCCGTTCCATATATACTGTTCAAAAACCTTTGAGAAGACGGAAGAAAAAAGAGAATACTTGAAAACGAAAATTTATAAACTTTTAGAATGCAGTATTACAAATTGGCATTTGAATTTGACATTTCTTTGACATCGTTTTGGTATTTTCTCACTTTTTTCTAACTATGTAAAATTGATAAGTTGATATTTTAAGATAACCTTTCAAACTTCAAAATTTTCTAACAATATCATGTTAAAATTTAAACTGTCAAAACATAATATATTTTTGACATTTTAAATCCGTATCATAATTCAAGAGAAATATTTTGCAAACAGTTTACACTGCAGCATAACTGCATTATTAAGTAGAACTAAGAAGAAGTTTAAAGGCTGTTTAAAAAACTGATTTCTTTAAAATCTTGGAACTGGGGAATAAATATAAAAAAAAATATTTAATAAAAATATAAAATTTAAGGGATAAAATAAAAGGTAAATTTTATGAATAAAAAAACGATTAAAAAACTTGTATGTGCCATAATTTTATTAATTAATAATAAAAATTTAATATTGTACCTATATGCACTAATATATATTTTTAATATATATATAATTATATAATATATATTATTAATATACGGACATTAATTTAAGTATATTAATATCTTAAAAATATTTATTAAGAAAAAAATATAAAAGCAAAAAAAAATTACAACAATCTCTAATTAAAACCTACTAAAAATTAAAAGTGGTACGTGCTACATGTCATAATCATCATACAACTCAATCAATATCATTATTATCATCAACATTATCATTATCTTAAAAATATTAAAAATTGCACTTAAACATTAACGTCGTCATCTTCCTTTTCTCTTTACTTATTTTTAACGTATATTAAGCATATACGCACATCGCGCATTTATTTTCTTGCTATAATTTTTTTCCTTCTTTTAACTTGATTTAAAACACATATGGACATAATGTACATATGGACCGGACACACAAAACTTTATTATGATAAGGAAAGATAAAAAAAAAATTGTCTTGGATGAAAAAACTAAGAAGAAGAAGAAGAAAAACAAAAAGTTGGAAAATCTTGTTCATAGGTACCTGCATATTATTTGTCTTACGCGATTCCTGCAGTTACTTATTTTATAATATGTCAAAATATATATAGTATACATTTATATATAATAGGTGTGAATATACACATTGATATTATTTTCTTGTTCACTGTTGTACAATTGTACAATTTAAGCCCACTGGACACTATTTTATTGTTTTACATTGTTGTCTCTTGTGTAAAAAGTTCTCTGTTTGCACCTTTTTGTCATATTTTAAAAATTTATTATAATTTTCTTTTGTTTCTATTATATACCATCTTTGTATCTTAATAGAATAAACCATCAGGAACCACACATTGACAGTTTAATTCTTTATAAAT